ATTGTGTGAAAGAGGATATGTTTAAGAAGGGAGTGGATTCAGATATGATGGCTGATAGAAATGTATGGAAGAGCAGCACATACTTTGCCAACCCTCCATAAGCGATAAGCACAAGTTGAGGAAGAAATATAACCCTTAGGAATTTATTACATTATAATTTTCAGTTACTATAAATATCACCGAGTATGTTTTAATAAACAATAATATTCTTCACTTCTTTATATTTGCGTTTTATTAAATATTTTCTACTTTCAGATTTCCTGCCATGGCATTGTTTGGTTGGCCAGTTGGCTTACTTTTATATGGTTGTTCAATAACAAAGATTTGTACCAGCTTCAAGTTAATATGTTAATTGGTTAGAATTATTGATTTCTTAAAGTAGTGTTCAAAGTTCACATTCATTACGTTTATATGTTAATGGAAACATAACTACATAACTGTATGTAATATTTTTTTCTTTTTCAGCTCTCATCTTGGATATTGTTGTTGTAGCTGTAATAAAAGCGTTCGTAAGACGACGTCGTCCCGTCCCAATGAACAAACTCTCAGCTATTGGCCCTGACAAGTATTCTTTCCCATCAGGTCATGCAAGCAGGGCAGTCATGGTGGTCTTTATTCTTTCGTATTTATATCCTGTATCTATTATTTTCTTACCTCCACTGTTTGCGTGGGCTTGCGCTGTGTTAGTTTCGAGAGTTTTACTGGAACGGCATTACATTCTTGATGTTTTAGGCGGAGTTGGTATTGGACTGTTAGAAGGTTTAGTTTTGTGTTTAATTTGGCTCTCCCAGAGTACATCTGCTAGCATTTTATCAACATTGTCTGATGAGAAAATTGATGGAGGAGAGTATCATGTGTAAAATTATGAAGGTATTTGTGTTCCTCTATCAAAATTTTAACCAAAAAAGTAAAAGTATTATGTATTTTATAGTCTCATTTTATTTTAGGAACACTGATCTCCATTCACCAATTAATTGTATCTAATACTAATAAACAATTAATAATATAGGATCAAATATATAAATTTAAATCAAATTGACTATTTTGTGACATAAAAACTTTTCATGAAACTGCGGGCTATATTAGAGTAGCTTCATAGAACTTAAAACTATTTCAGGATCTAATAAAAAATATCTTTCTAAAGTCTGTTCACTTTAGCCTGTTTAGCACTGCTTCTGGATGATAAAAAATAGAGAGATTCTGAAATACGTATTTATTACTTTATATAGTTTTTGATTTCTCACTTACTGCTAAGAGCAACATAATTGTGTTTTTCTCTATTTTGTTTAGTAGAAGAGGTGGGTAGTTTCTTTTTACGTTTGCATACATAGAAGAAAATAGAACATAATCTATTCTCGTTATAAAGTGATCAAAAATGGGTCTAAAATATGATTGTCATTATTCCTAATTCCTAATTATAAATATATTTATATTTCATGAAACTTACTTTTATTTACATGATTTGATAATATTAATATGATGAATTTATACTGTAGAATTTAGTTTTGAAGGAGTTGTCATCTTGTACATTCCAATAAGCACTAATGTTCCTATACTTAACATATTTCTAACTTTTTACAAATCAGCTAGTTAGTAATGAGGTTACAGAGGAAAAAAACTGTTTTTATTGTTTTAGGCCTCGTTTAAAGTAACCGGTTACAAAATTTTGAACCGGAAAACCGCTGCAAAAGGCAATAAAAAATAAATCAATAGGGAAAAATAATATTTTCTTTATCCATGACGAAAATAATGGTTCTGAAGTGTCTCGAAGGCATTGCCCCGTTCCAGATGATGGTTAATAAAAAAGATTTGGTAATAACTTGGCCGGTAAATCTGATTACGAAAATGGATTGGTATAATTTATCAGCCACAATACTACTTAGTCTATGGCATCACATTCTGAACATCTGTCAAAATATCATGTGTTGTCGACGTGTGACGTGTGTCGCAGTGTGTCGTGTCATTGTCAGTTGCGATTACCGAAGAGTGAAACCAAATTGAAAATACTTTTTAGTGTATAATTGTTATTTATTATTAATTATTCAAGGAGTTTCTCGTAGGATTTTGATATTTTTAATTGGTAATTTTTTGGCTTATGATTTATACGTATAGCTCATTACTTAATTGTTTCAAATTGTGGCACTTAAGTTCTACAATATTCTACGAATCTTGTTTTAGCAACAATGAGGAAGCTGAAAGGAGCTGTAAAAGAAACCGCGAAACAGAAAAGGGAGAGAAAACAGGAATTCGCAAAAGTGCGGCAGCAAATGCATACGATAGTCTTGCCTACTTTCGCGGTTATATTTTTACTAATATGCACGTATGTTTATTTCAAAACGAGACCGACTTCAATGCAGTATGCATAAATATTTTATGGCCGAGTGGATCATGTAAATAAAATAAATCTTCGAGCCTAAATCTAATCAATATACTTCAATTTTTTATACAATCAATATTTATTATGGTTGTTGATACAACACGGAAATCCTACCGAGAATTTATTTATCGTGTCTCTGTATTTCTTTAACTGTATACAAAACATTCCATTTGAGGAGGTCTTAAACATCAATCAATTCAGGCACAAAATAATTTTAGATTTGGTTTTGGACTTGTATTATATAGCACATTAGTCCTACTTTTGGATGTCTTTTTTTGTCAATTCAATCTCAACCCTTTCGGAATAAAGGGGTTGTCCCAAGTATTTATCTGCAAGTGTCTTAGGGATTTATAAATTTACCTTGAATAATAAACGAAGATATGCAACAGATAATGCTTAATTTGATGTAGTTAGGTTTTGTTGCATTGTGCCCTTAACCCTACACAAGGGCCAGCTATTCAGAGCATGGGTTTTATTTACTTTTATTTTGGAACTCCTCATATTTGACATATCAAATGTAAATATTTTAGTTTTAAATCTATATTAAGTTTATAAAGTTTGCAAAATGATAAATATAATCAAGTTTTATCAAATCCTATTGTATACTATCTGGAATGAGGGTAATATAAATTATAAATACGTAGAAATTTTAAAAAGTGTTGTATTTAATTTATATATTATTTATTATGTGTGTATAAATCCTTAAATGTTGTGTAAAATAAAACTTGCTCAATATATCACTTTTTTATTTAAAACATTTTTCATATTAAAAGATGGCAATAAAGCAAGCATCAGTCAATTTGGGTATAATATTGAAATAACCTCTAACAGACATCCACAAGGCAAATTAATAGATGGATGCAATGCCTATTTTTCTCCTCATATATCCAAACTTCAAGATTGCACTTCCATTTCTAATTCTTTTCTTATAAAAAGCGAGAACAAAATATGGCCTGCATACTCATCAAAACCGAGGATTAACGAGATATAAAAATAAAATAATCAAATCAAGTCAAATTCATTTATTACAAAACCATTTGTCAATATGAAAAATATATATTAATACTGATTATTAATATTTATAGTTTTCTTCTGTTTGACATTAGTGAGGAGCCATCCAAACAGCCAAGTGGAGGCAGCAAGTATGTACAGTGCACTGATAGCATAGTACTGTGAGGTGATTGGCAGCCGCAGACTTTGTATGAGCACAGCAGTCAGCAATGACTGTAGGCCGGTGCCCAGAAGCGTGTTAATTCCAAATATTAGACCAAAACAGCTCTCATTGCTTAGCTGACTGGCGATTTTTGCACTAAAAAGAAAACAAAAACACTCATCAAAATTAACTTTTTACCACATTTCATCTATTATTGTGACGTTATCTGTTATTAAATTTTAAATAAGATTGTCACAGGTTAAATTGATTACTAAACAAGCTTGCATATTGCGTATCAAATTTGCGTATAGCATAATTTTAATTTAAAACATTTCAACATACTTTTTATATATAATTCGAAAGGGATCTAAAACTAGACTACTAGTTGCTCGCGACTTCGTCCACGTGCAATTTAAAAAATAGCCTATATTACTCGACCATACAGAGGTAAAGGTGCAAGTATTTTTGAAATTGACCCAGTAGTTTTTGAGTTATTACAATACATATAAAAATACAAATCTTTTCTCTTTAAAATATCAGTATACATATAGAATAAAAAACCTAAAAGTACCTGGCCATAGTAATAGTGAAGTGATAGAGCATTCCCATGACAATATAGCCGGCGTACGACACGAACACGTTGGGTACGTGCGTGGCGACGAACACGGCCGCGCCCTGCAGCGCCAGCGCGGGCGCGGGCAGCGCGGCTCTAGCGAAGTACGAGGCTAACAGCGCGCCCACCACAC